GGAGAGCGTCGACAAAGATCCCCCTGCCTTCATCTCTACAGCTGTTGGGAATGGTCTCGTGCACAAAGGGCAGTGTCCTCATTAAATTTCGCGGAGGGTCGCCATGTGGCCAGCTGAAATTTCGTTTTGTTTTACTCCGGTAATATATTCAGCACCTCCGAACGTAATGGAGTGACAGATGGGAGCTGGGCCCAGGCTTTCATGGGAAAGGCTCCACTCAGCAGGGAAGCAGTAAGTTTCCCACCTAATCTTCTGTAACCTTCAGACTGCTAACAACTGTAAGAAGCAAAGCAATGGGTAGTTATTAAATTAATGACTTCATCCCCAAGCCGGTAATAAATATTTTATAGTTTTATCTCTCCACCCTGTAGACTGCTCTAAACAGACCAGGCTGTTTATTAATCTAGCTTCTGGATTTATGTTATTTAATTGCTAAACAACTTCAGCATGGTTAGGCTGGATTATTGAAGGTTGGAGCCTGAGAAGGAGTCCCCTAGCAAATGGCAAAACCTGAAGAACTGATCCTTGATGTTGGACTTGACTTACCAAAACCAACTGTCCTGCAGTGCTAAGGCCAGGTTAGCCTCTGTTTGAGTGCAAACTGTTTGGCTGTTGCCTTACATTCAGTTTAGGTGGACTCTGGGACTTGTCAGTCAGGAAGGGACAAGTTTTGGCATGTCCTGGCTTCAATGAGGGCATGCTGGTGTTAACCATGGGCATGATGTTGCAAGGGCAGACATCATCTTAGTGTGGACAGGTCCTTCTGGGGCCTTCATGCTAGTCCTGGAGCTCAGGCAGAGCATGTGGCCTTGCTCCATCCCTTCATGGCTCGTGTTCCTTCAGATCCTCACAAACAGTCCCTGACATTCAAACAAAACAGCACTGCAGTTATAGAAATGAAAGCAGGCTTTAATGGGTGTTATACTTCCTTGTTGACAGGGTCGAAAATGTCTTTAAAACTGATACTACCATTTTTACAACAATTGGTGATTTATTCATCCCACTGAAAGACAGGGATGAAAGCATCTGGAATAACGAGAGCTATTTGTCTGAAGAATGCACACTTTCCTACAGCCTCAATCCCATGAGCCCTTCTGTACAAAGCAGAAGGTCGTTTCAGGATATATCTTCTCATAAAAGTATAGTAGTGAGTCTGTTAACAAGTGCGGGCCAGAACCTTTAATCCAACTAAGCTGTGCTGGAGCAATTTGCAGCTCGGGGCTGCTCCGTTGGCTGCAGTGTTATCTGATTGCTCCCAAACCTCAGAACTGTCTTTCTGTGGTCCAAGGGGGAGTGAATTTGATGGCAAATAGTATCTCTGAAGTGCGAAGTTCCCTTCTTGCCCGGGTAACCTGATGGACAACAAGGCAACCATTTCCTGACCGCCCAGCTGTGTGTTTTTCAGGACCCCTCAGTTGTGGGAGGAGGGTGAAGTGGGCTGAGCCTTCACCCAGAGGAACTGTGGGGTGGGGGAAACAAAAGTCAGAAAATATGCATGAGACTGGGAAGGAATCCCTTTTCTGTTCATAGCTGTTTAAGGCCAGAGCTTGTGGCTGTCTGGGAGAGGCCAGGTCAGTGCTGACAAGTGAAAGGTACCACTGGAGGAATGGGTGATTAGCAGCTTTCAACAGTTAACAGCTGCATCAGCGAGGCCAAGTGACACTCTCCCTGGTCAATGGTTAATCGACACGTTTAGAAACAACCATATGCCAACGGGTACCTTTTCCCTTGCATCCTTGAAGATAGAGACCTGCTCTTCTCTGCCATTCAGCTCTCACCCTAGGCCTGCTGGAGGAGGCTTAAGAGCTCTCCCAAGCACACCTATAAACTGACAGCATACCATCTTAAACCAATTCAATTCCCTTCCCTGCGATAAAGGACGCCAGCTCGGAGAAGATAACATCTCACAGTGATGGCTCCCCGAGCTGCAATCGAGCACAAATCCAACCGCTCTATTACACAGCTCAGCCGATTCGTTAGGGAAGGACAAGCCAGCCTGTCTTATTTAGCTCCATCACCATAATCAAATATTGGCACAAGGAACTGCTCGGCGGTGCAAAGTCGAGCGGAGCCCCCATAAAGCAATTATGTGCCCTTCAGGAAAACAACGTGCCAGCCAGTTGAGGGGATCCGTTGCGTGGGTTGGCCTGTTTTTCTCCTTTGCCAAGGGGATAAAACCTCACCAAGTTAGGCCCAGCAAAGCATCAAAGAGATCTTGTCCTTGGGGCTCCTGGGAAAGCTGGGATCCATCCCCAACAGCCCCTTCTTCCAAGGGTGTTTCTTCTCAGGCATTTGGGACTGCACAGCTAGGACATCCAAGCAAGTCTGTCCTAAGCCTCTGTCAGTTCTCCTGCCCCAGGACAGCTTGCAGATATCCAGTGAAGTCAGAAATAATTCCCAGCGAACACATACGGACATGGGCATTCTTTAAAAAAACCTTCTACCCAAAACTTTGCTCTAAATTCTTCTGACTACTGTTCTGGCTGCATTTTACTCAGCCCTTCACTTTTGTGCCTGTGGTACAGACACCTCCTCCTGCTATAACCTAACAGCACTTGTGGCTCCATGCAGAGACAGACAGGGAAGTTCAGTTCAGTTAATCAGACAATTGAATTTTGTGGTGATGAACCTGCCTGAAATTCCCATTTGACCCAATTCACTCAGCTCCAAATGGCCTTAACGTGATTTACCTTATTTCACCTTGGGAGCTACAGCTACAGCAGAGCAAAACTGAATTATGCCAACTTCAGAAATTATGTTTCCAACACAGAGATCAGTGGAAAATTGTCTTCATTGCCACAGCTTCAAAACATAATCTCTTACCAGTGGAAAGGCTCCGTTCTTCCAGGAGGGCAATCTGCAAAAATCACTGTCAGGCTGATATAACTGAGCAAATCTTGTTGACAAAGAACAGCCATCTCCCAGCATTTGAGCTAAACCTCAGAGATCAGTTTGGTGAAGCTTTTGTTGTAAATCTAGGAGGGAAATATGTCTGTCTCTGTGTCCTGTCCCAGAGCTGTCATATCCTGTACTGCTCCCAATGGCATCCCCTCTGCTCCTTCCTAATATCCCATCTAACCCTGTCCTCTGTGAGTTTGAAGCCATTCCCCCTTGTTCTGTCACTCCAGGCCCTTGTCCCACGTCCCTCTCCAGCTCTCTTGGAGCCCCTTTAGGCACTGGAAGGGGCTCTATGGTCTCTCCAGAGCCTTCTGTTCCCCAGGCTGAGCAACACCAGCTCTCCCAGACTGTCTCCAGAGCAGAGGGGCTCCAGCCCTCCTGGGGATGTGGAGTTTTGATTCTCCCCATCACGGCACTAGTGGGATTTTAGGCACCAACTTGGCTGGCTGGTGACAGCTCCTAATTCTTCGAGGCCTTCGGAGATGCCAAACCCGAATTCCTGTTAGATCCTTCAGCTTAGTAGGTGGGAAGAGCCAGGTGTGAACTGCACAGCCCCTCAGCAGAGCTCCAGGTCAGCAGGGACACAGTGACCCCACAAGCCACAGTAAAGGACGAGGGAGGAAAAAGCCCAGTGGGGACACATCAGGAATATTGGCAACAGCTCGAAGAAAGACCATAGGAACTAAAGTCACAAACAGAACCGGGTTTTATTACGAAATAACCCTGCCAGTACATAAGGAAGTTCTGTCTGCAAAATACATTTCCTGAGGAAAGTAGATCACAGTATTCGTTTTCACAGAATAACATGTAGCCTGCTATAACTTTCAATGTGACTCTTTATTATTTAAATATTAACAGTATTCCTTCACATAAACAAGTACTCAGTCATCACATAACCAACACACAAACGACAAAATAAATATACAACAAGAGCACAGTTTGTTTTTTTCCCCGACTTAAATATTAAATAAATAATAAATACAGAATTTTCATTTCCTGTTATCAGTGCCTGAAACAATATGAATGAAAAAGAAAAGAAAAACTGAAAAAGTCTCTCTTCCCCCCCAGTGCCCCTGCCCCTGCAAAAAAACAAACCAAAAAATTATCAAAATGTCTCAGTTATAAAATATCTTTAAAAAAATTCCCATCATTAAAAGAATAAATAACAAAATATATAAAAAATAACTTGGTTGCATCAAAATTACAAGTAGGAGTTGTAGATAGGGGGTTTTGTCTCTTTTTTTTTCCTTTTTTTTTTTTTGGAATATCATTTTTTATGGTCAAGAGTTTTAATTTTTAACTTTTTTTGCTTCTTTTATCTTCATTTCTATGGTGCAGTGTCCAGTTTAAAATAAGTATAAAATTAATAAATAAAAAAGTTAAATAAATAGCAAAAAGTTAACATAAGGTGTTGTAAATATAAATTACATACATCTTGCCAAAATTAAATAATTTACAGGATAATTAAACTAACTACTTTTTTTTTTTCTTCTCTTTCTTCCAGTAAGTGCAATTTCTCTACTTTTAAATACTAACTGAATTGCAGTCACAATCAATTTGGACTCTATTTACATGTTAAGAACATTGTGTTTTTAACACCTCAAATTTCATATTCTTTTTCTTTTTTCCCTTTCTTTTGTATTTTTGCACTTGGAATGGGTTCTAAAATAAGTGAACTCATGGAGCCTGATCCTGCAAACACTTAAGTGTGGGAGCAAATACCCACCCAGGCCAACTGCCCTGTGGAACTCAACGCGGGAACCGACACCAATCGAGTCACTCCTGGGCTTCGAGGCCGGATCCAGTGGCCACGGTAGTCACTGGGACTTTCCACTGACTTCTCCAAACCGCAAATTACATCCTAAATATCTGCAGGGTTTGGCTCGAAACAACACCGCGGTCTTGCCTCTAGTAGGGGCCAACAAAACCCTCCCCAGCTCTGCCCGCCCCGCTGCCGGGAGGGACGCGGGATATGGGACACAGGATGCAAGATGCACCCACGCTGGGAGCCCTGGAAGGGGGGGCTCTTCCCCACGGTGCTTCTGGAGAAGGAGGCAAGCTCCGGGTGGGAGTGGAAATGTGGGGAGCAGCCCCGTGGGGTGACAGCTGGCCCTGGCGATGGAACGGGTGCTGCAGAACAGCGTCGCAAAGACATTCATGGAGTTATTCTTTAGGTGCACAGTGGGCTGCGTGTACCGAGCTACTTACAAAATGCTTCTTTGGAAGAATACCCATGACCTGAATACTCTTTTTTTCTTTTTTTTACCCCTTTTTTTCTTTTCTTTTCTTTCCTTTTTTTTTCTTTCTTTGCAGAATGGCGCTTGCGCTGTGATTTCGCGCCAAACCTAGAACACCAAACCAAAAAAAAAATACTCGTTGCCCCATGGATACCTGTGAGAAATCGACTCCCAATTCACGGTGTGTAAGCACTTTGCTGGCCATCAATTAACATCTCTCTTTTTTGTCGTTTTTTTTGCCTCTTTTGCTTTGTTTTGTTTCGGTTTGTTCATCGCAATCTCAACCATTCTCTGGCATTGATGTATGATCTCTGGACTGGCAGTACTGCGCCACTGTAAGGATGATCACAATAATGAAAAGAACCAGAACTGTCATCAAACAGACTTCCAAAAAATCATATACACCGGACCATGACACATTAAAGAGTTCTTCTGTATGAAATATCTAGAATTGGCCTATTCATAATAGCTATTCTCATATTTAAGACAGACAAAGGAATACTGTAGTTGCAAACTCCAAAAGCTTCCCTGAGAACCTTTTTTTCCATTGCGCTTTCCACTGGAGATCCAGAACTGCTCTTCAGATTTCTTTCAGAAAATAAAAATAAGCTACTTTATAATACTTCAGAGTTCCCATGCCCAGTGGATATCTGAACACTTCAGGGTTGGGAGGCCCAGCACAGGTTCAGATTTACAGGTAGCTTGCAGCTCCAGCACTTGTAGCAACATAGAACATAACTCATGTGTGAGTAGGTGATCTGGACATACGACCATAGACAACATGAGGGTTTAAGCCAGTCATACTCTAGTCTTGGATCAGACAAGACCCTGTTCTTGTAACGTTTTAACCCTTGGATCAACTCTGCAAAAGCATGGCAACACATGAAAGTTGCCTGCTCTTCACCTGCTACCAAGCCCCACAGCCTACTGGAGAATTTAACCTTCCATCCTGATCTACCTCGTGGTCCAGGTAGAAAAAAATCCCACTTTTCTCAAGAAGGTCCAAAATTAAGTAAACGAGAACATTGAGTTCGATCAGTTCCATGTCTCAGAAATGGCCTCTTGGTTACATTTTGGTCCTTTTTTTTCTTTTTTTTTTTTTTTTTTTTTTTTTTTTTTTTTTTTTTTTTTTTTTTTTTTTTTTTTTTTTTTTTTTTTTTTTTTTTTTTTTTTTTTTTTTTTTTTTTTTTTTTTTTTTTTTTTTTTTTTTTTTTTTTTTTTTTTTTTTTTTTTTTTTTCATTCATTGAACAAGTTTTCTAACTTGTAAACCTGAATACTTGGAGGGAAAGTTCCATCTTACAGTCTGTTTGCTTGCTCATCTCCATTCCACGGCACTAAACCTGGATGCCCTTGACGGCTTGCTTGATGCTCTCCAGCAGGTCCTTGTTCTCCGGGTTCTGGTAGCATTCCTGGTTGGTGTACATGTCTGTCAGCGTGTTCACATATGCATCGAAGTTCTGCTCACTAATTGGCTCCTGCAAACAAAAAAAAAAAAGCCAATTAAAAGGGTTAGTAGAAGAGCAGGAAGAGGCTGAAACGATTCTTTGCAATAAACCATCTGTGTATTTTATTGGGGATGCCTGAAAGTTTTCAAGGACAAGTTGGATTGGGCTTGGAGTAACCTGGTCTTGTGAAAGGTGTTCCTGCCCATGGCAGGGGGTTGGAACAAGATGAGCTTTAAGGTCTCTTCCAACCCAAACCATTCTATGGTTCTATGTATGTCCTGGCAGTCAAAGGTCTCCATGTCAAAGCCTTTATATGTGAAGTGCTGTACCTACAGGAATCTCACCATGCAACCCCTGATCCTGCCAGATCTTAACTGGGTCCTTAATTTTATGGATTGGCCTTGTGGAACTATTATAAGCATCAGGTTAAGCACATTCAGGCAGTTTGACAGGCTGGAGGCTGAATTAAGCCATGGAAATGAAGGGCAGGAGAATGAGAAGACTGGTGGAACACCATAGAAGGAACCAAAGGCAAAGGCAGGACAGAAGCCTGGTCACCTTAAGCTTACAGCTGCCCACACCAGCACTCTGCTGCAGTACAGCTTCTACTTTTGAGGGCATCGTGGAAACCTTGCAAATATCTAATTTGGAGTAATGGGGAAAAAAGAAATGGAGAAGGAAGAAAAAGAACAGGAATGAAACGAGCATACAAGTCTCATGGGCATTATTTAATTGGAGTTGCCTGAAACCTTGAAAAAATATTTGCTGAACAGTTTATTTGACCTTTTTGTGTCAAACACTTCACAAAAAAAGCACTCAGCGAGCGGTTTTCTGCCAGTTAGGCAGCTGGGTGAATACTATCCAAAACTGCTCTGCTGGAGAATGGCTTCTCTCCAACCAGCCTGAATTTAAATACAACCCCCAATGAAAAGGATTCCCAAAAAAAAAAAAAAAAAGGATGGCAGAAAAAAAAATATCAAAAGCTCATTCCTCTGATCATTGCAATGGCCTTTATGAGTTGTAAGAGGAAAACTTCCTCAACAACATGAGCCCCCCCTTCCACACACCTGGTTTTGACAACAGTAATTACATTCCTGGGAATAGAGAGAAGGTAATTAATAGCCTTTTGTGGTTTTACTATTTTAATGCAGTCTTTTCATTTCTCAGTAACTCTACAGTAACATGCTGTGGGCTGTTAGACCTTGTTAAATTAAACAAAATACACTCTCTTTAAGAATGCTATTCTTTGGCTGCCAGCTATTCAAAACTGAATTGAAA